AGGTCTAGTATTATAGTATAGGTCTAGTATTAGAGGTCTAGTATTATAGTATCGGTCTAGTGATTAGTTGGAGAAAAATAATCTTGCTTGAGCTCACTTGCTGAAAAGGAGCCACGCTCGACAGCTGCACGCTGCAGCCAAACCCAGCTCCTCATTCAGCTCTCTCTGCTAACCCAAACATATGGTTCATGGGCAGAGTTAACATTCTCAGACATGGTAGTTAAAAACATCCATAAACTTCAACCAAAAATTCCATAACATCTAGTATTATAGGTCCAATATTATAGCATTGGTCTAGTATTGGAGATCTAGTATTATAGTATGTGTAGTATTCTAGTATAGGTCTACAGCCAGTGTTTCCTCGAGGTTACTTGCCTTGAGACTAGTTGGCGTTTGTCGACCGGGGAGAGGGAATTTGGTCTAGTGCTAAATATGCTGATGTGTATCAAATTTGCCACCTACAGATCATTTTGGCCACTTAATATTACATTATTAGATATGGACTGCGTTACGTAGTTATGATTAGGTTAGTTAGCAAGTGTTACTGCAACGTGAACCAACAGTCATAACCCTATTTACTCTACAGTAGATGAAATACGGTGGTTATTACTTTCTTTCAATAAGTGATGCTGAAAACTTGAACACATCTGTACATTTGTTTACAGTTTATCTATTAACTATAACATGCACCATGCAGAAGGCTACAAACAACTATAAAATGTGCATTTGACACAACCATAACAAAAACATAAATATTAACCAATTAATATTTGTGCCAAATATCCTGTGCGGCCAAGAAGGACGTTTTATACTCAGCATTTATAGAAATCTGCTAATCCTGTTGGGCTTCAACACAAACAAACGAGCAGCACAACAGATCTTGACAAGTTTATGACCTTTCTCGGATTAGAACTCGTACCATCACGATAACCTGTCCATTGTATGTTCTCATACAATGATGACATTAGTTCTCTGCAGTATTAACCCGTCACACCTGAGGTTACACCCAGGTGGAGCAGTGGGCGCCCGGGGAGCAGTTAGGGATTGGGTGTCTTGCTCAGAGCCCTGCCCCATGTCGGACCCCAAAGGTGCATCTAGTGGAATTATATGACTGTTAGTGGGTCATTTAGGTATTTTTTCGCTCTATCAGATTAGCTTTAAAGTTAAATTCGCTCATATTAACCATCTACATTTTTATTATAAAAACACGAAAAGTTCATTTAAACAACACACATCTTCAGTGTTACCTGTTCCCGCATTCAACTGTCTGTACAATTGTTTTAAAAAGCCATTAATAGATGTTTTCTAAATAAAAAGATTGCTAACAATTAGCGCTAAGCCTCTAACAACCTGGATCACATCCGTCTTTACTCTCTCTATTAATCATATCAACACATAATGCGCTTGAGAAAAGCAAGTACCTTTTAAAGCGAGCAAGTGTTCTTGTTTCGTCTGATTTACGTCCATTTTGACAGAGAAACAAGTCTTATCCTTCAACCAGCAGAGTGTTTTCCTACGAGCTTTTGAGCTTGGAGCTCCTGACCGGAAGTGACTTTGTTTTTCACGAGTTCTAAATGTTTACTGCCCCCACCTGCTCAGAATGGGTACTACAACAACAACTGGTAAAATATTTATATTAACATTAATTTTTTAAATTTTCTTTCTGTTGTAACAACCAACACATAGTTATGAACAAACTGTTTTTTTTCATGTAGTTTATTTTAAATAAATCATCTGCTTATTGTCTTCTTTATGAAAATAAATAATGCAGCTTTTCATTCACACTGAATCCAACAACTTTAAGTCAGGTCCTCTGGATGGACAAAAATAAATAAATAAATTCAATAATTAATTTGAAAAATATATATTTATTTTTTATCTGCCCTGAGGACTTTTGTTGGATTTTTCTATCTGGATTATTGAGCATGAATCATGATATTCATACTGGATGTTTTACAGCTTTTTTTAATTTCACTTTCCCATCACTGTATTTTCTTCTCTGCACATACCATCAACATTTACTTCCATCTTCTTCAGTCAATTAATATTGCACTCTTCTGGCATCTAGTGGTACGAATTAGGACCACCATTGACCATGACAACACTGGAGCATCTATTTAATATGAATGAGAAAACCAAACTAAAATTTTAAAAAAGTAAGTAGTCTATGAGAGGGAACCCAAAGTTTAAGGTGTTATATAAATGGGTGGAATAGTTTTTGAAACTTGTGTGTAAAACTGATAAAATTATATCATATAAGTTATCACTTTGTATTGATCCACCATCAGGATTTCTGTGAAAAATAATGTTGTTTTAGATCATATTCATCCAGAAACATCTCAAATTTTATTAACCTTCACAAACAACTGAACAACAAATGGTCCAAACAGAGGCCTATAGTTTGAAGACACCTGCTTAACTTGGTTTTAACGTCAAATGTAGGAAACACAAATTGTCGAAAATTTGTTAAAAATTTAAATTTAGGTTTAATGTGTTTCTTTACATTTAGCACATGAATGTTATTACTGAGCTTAACATTTATTTTCACGTCAACCACTCAAGTGACATAATCAGTCATTACTGTGACATTTAACTAAACAAACTGATGGAAAATATAAGAATGTAAGCAGACGACAGCACAAGAAAGAATGTGTGGATGTGCGTGTGTGTGCGCGTGTTAATTTAAAAATAGTTGTTCTGCCTTCTATAGCACAAAGAAGTGAAGTGATGTCAGGTTCTACACATCATACAGCAAAATAGTGACTGGAGCACGGAGAGTCATGTTAAGTATAATCTGTTTGGAACAAATATTTTCATCATCTTCATCCTCCACAAAGACTGAAAGAAAACGCTGTGGCTCCCAGGGGATTTCCTGAGTCTGAGAGGGTAGCACTCGGATCCAGTTGACATCTGTCTTGAAGGTGAACGTTCTCCCTCCAGGAAGCCCAGACAAACTTTGATCTAGAGCAGCATCATTACCAGCAACAGCCTGAGAGGTGATAAAGGCTTCAAGCTCTTCAGCCTTTTCCATGATGAAAAGTCTCATGTTCCGTTTGCTGTAGTTGCTCATCTGACAAGTAGTGCTGGTGTTGCCCATGCTGGTGTGAGATCGGAGCTTTACTGGAGACTGAAACAGATGAAAAGGTTGAAATGTTCATTAGAAACTATGGAAATTGCATACGCTCCAGTTTATTTTATTTATGGTTTTTAAGGGTATCATTGTATAAGAAGTTAAGCAACTTTCTGTTCAACCTTTTTGTCTTTTATTGTTATCTAAATTGTGCAAGTAATAAACCAAAATGTATGGCTAGATTAGGTATAGTGTGCTATGGTTGTTTGTAGCAGTGCACAACACAGAAAATTTGCAAAAGACTGAAAAAAAAAAAAGGGAAGGAAAAAAATCTCATTAAAGTCTTATTTATGAAGTCTTTTGGATGAAAGACAAAATGTTTCAACAAAAATAATCTGTCTAGAGGACCTGACTTAACTTTGATGGATTTTTCTACCTGGATTACTGAGCATAAATCAGAATATTTTGAACCACTTTGGCCATGACTGTCTCAAAAGAGTCAACGGGGGATAAGGCGGGCTCCAGAAACCATCTGAGCACCATCAAACTGGTTGACCCACTATATAAGGTGCTATTTATAAGAATGAGTTTGTTGCGGCTCCTCAGACTGATGAAGTTTTTTGGAAGAAAGACGAAACTTTTCAACAAAAAGAATCTGTCCAGAGGACCTGATTTAACTTTGTTGGATTTATTACCTGGATTATTGAGCATGAATCAGGATACTCATTAATGTGACTTTGATAAAACACATGAGAGCTGTTTCTGAGCATTATAGCTCAGACAGACCTCACAGTAAATACATCATTTAACGTTTCAGTGGGTCACAGATAGTTGAACCTTGCATGTCTGAACTGCCATTTTGAAGTATTTTATGTTTTACAAAATTATTTTTATACATTTTTCCACATAATGTTCAGCTGACAGATGACATCAAATGCAACTTTTGAATTGTTTTAAATGTTCAACTCTTTGCAAATAAACTTTACTTACCACCACAATGTCTTTTAGTACATTTACAAATTACAAGGCTTTTTTTTTCACACAGTGTCTCTCACTGTTAAAGGACCTTATACTGTTTTAATTACTGTTTTTATTTTTGTCTTAAATCCTCCCAGAATTAGCTTCTCTTCAAAACTGGAAGTGAATGATGTTTAATTTGTCATATCTCCTACATAAACCAGTGTACAAAAATACAAAGTACATGTCTACAATCAGTCTCCTGCTGCTCACTATTCAAGGTTGTGTTTAGCTCCAGCTAATAGTTTTAAACACACACACAGCTGCTGTTTGTTTCAGGCTTATGTTTCAGGCTGAGTTTCTATCTGCCTTTATTAACTTGGCAGACACAGGTTATCATGATGACCACATAAGGAGCCACTGGCTTTAACATTTGTTTTGATCGTTGTTGTTTTTACACTTGTTATACAGTTTATACATCAAAATGCATGTGGTTTTAAAGCTTCCATTATCATAAAGTTGTGTTGGAAATTTAGGCAACGGTTGCAGTGACACTTGTAGTTTTCACATTACTGTGTGGTACAGAAGCCAACAAGGCTTTCCACATCACAACAGAGCGCTGGACCATTCATTGCTGTTTATAAGAAAAACCTGTTCCACAATTTGCACATTTAACTGAAGAATAAAATAATCTGAGGATCAATTAACTAAATAATTAGGATAAAAGGTCTGAACTCTTACCTGTTAATTCTGTGACAGCAGCTGAGTGCAGTGCAACGTAACAAACTCTGAGCCTTGTGTGGACACAGTTTGATCATATGCAAATGTTTACTGGTGTTGCAGGGCAGTACCGTATTTTCCAGCATATAAGTCACCGTTTTTTGCATAGATTTTGTCAGTCATGCGACTTACACCCCGAAGCGGCTTAAATACTTTTTTTTCCCCATATTCATAACGCAATTTGTGACTGACGCTTTAAATTCCGAAGAAATGCAACAACGAGTCCTCCCATCTTTCTCTCAGCTGGTGCAGGCGGAGGAACCCTGGGAAGCTAGTGGCTCCGGCCGTGATGGATGGATGGATGGATGGCGCCGTGCCATCCAGGTGAAATGAAGCTGTTTTGACCATTAAAGTGCATTTATTAAGTAAAAGTTAATATTATTATAGATATAGATCATGAGTACTGAAACTGAAAAGATTGACTGGAGTCATGGGTACTGTACGTTAAGATTTATTTACAAAGAGTAAAGGATTAAGATCTAGTTACAATTTATTTCTGCTTAAAATGACACATGGAATTTATGGTTGCTGTATGACCAGTGAAGCTTTTTTTTCCACAGTGTAAGACTGTGGGTTCTTGATGGTTTGCATATACAAAGTAGAAACATTCAGTAAAGATAAAAACCCTGCTGCTGGCTCCAGTAATATTCTGAACAATGGGGCTGGTGCTTCTGCTGGTGGTTCTGCTGATCTCTGAGCCGAGTCTCCCTGAAGATAAGACCTGCGTTGTGGAGGAATCCTGCTGGCTTTTATGCAGGAAGCTGCTCCTCAGCAGACTGAAGAGTCCTGTTAAAGATCTGGAGATTGTTCTGACCCAAAATGAGCATGACTGTGTGTATTTTCATGGAGATTGTATGCATGTAGCTGAGCAGCTCAAACTAAGGAGTTTAGTTTTTTACTGGGAATGTTCACACCATAATGGGGACACCGACCAGGAAATATCAGGAATAATCCCAAAGAACCATTTTCCAGAACTGGTATGCTACTTTTTGTTTCCACAAAGTTTGATCTGTGTGATCTATGATGTGTCAACTTGTTTTTTTATTGTATGTCAAAAATCCAAGTCACAGTGAGTTAAATTCTGTAATGAGCTCATTTCTCCGTGCATATCATTTACAGAGGCAGATTTAAGCTTTTTAGGGTCCAAATCAAAAGAAAGACATACATTCGGTTATTCACCTACTATAACAAACCATATACTATATGCAGTTGCAATCAGATGTTTACATACATCGTTTAGAAAAACACATAGCTATTTTTTTCACTCTGAAATTAAAGCAGACTAAAGCTTTTTTTTATGTTCTTAGTATTTTGTAGCATTGCCTTTAAACTGTCGATAGGACTGAGATCAGGACTTTTTGATGGTCTCTTCAAAACAACGACTTTACTGTCTTGAATCCACTTTGTAGCTAATTTGACTGTATGCTTAGTCATTATCCACATGAAGATCTGTTGTGCTTGAAAGTTTGTGAACTCTTTATAATTTTCTATATTTCTGCATAAATATGATCTAAAACATCATCAAATTTTCACACAAGTACTAAAAGTAGATAAAGAGAATACAGTTAAACAAATGAAACAAAAATATTATACTTGGCCGTTTATTTATTGAGGAAAATGATCCAATATTACAGATTTGTGAGTGGCAAAATTATGTGAACCTCTAAGATTAGCAGTTAATTTGAAGGTGAAATTAGAGTCAGGTGTTTCCAATCAATGGATGATG